TTTGGGTGCACCTAGTGAGGAAAATAAATAAACACTTCTATACATATCTAACATGCAACTGAGTCAAGCCATTTTGAGTTGGGAGGAAGCAAAGAGCTCCTAACAACAGACTTTCTAGTAAGGCTTCAGTAGAATTGCAAAATATAAATAACTACTTTGTTTTAAAAAAAACACAGCTTCGTTAAAGTAAAGTTGTTTTTATCTCACCGTTGTTTTTAATAAAAAAGTGGAAATAACTCATTTGGGTTTCTATATTTCATTTTTATTATGCCAATAATTCATTAATAATTTCACATAAACCATCATGCTTCCTATATATCTATATGCCTTGACTATTGCATTCTCTGTTTCTTGTTTTCTAAGTTTCTTTACCATCATTTTAAAGTACTTCATATGGATGTGCAATATATATGCATATCATCCATTCATTCTAATTAGCATTAAAACAGTACTACCCACTTTCAAATTCATAAAACAGTTATGCCTACTTTTGTACCAATTTGGAGTATGCTATAGAGTGAACAACCCTGAGATTTGCAGTCTCTCAGATATCTTTGAGATTTGGCTTGTCTCTGCAAGACATTTTGACCATTATAATACGAAACATTCAGATGCCCACTGGAACACATAAACATATTTTTAAACCAGCTCTAGTAAATGTACATTTGAAAGAAGAAATCAAGTAATAAATTATATAGCTGAGATATAATTATTTTTCAGATCTGCATGACAAACTTTTAAATGAACATTTTGATTAGTATTCCTTAAGTACAGCTATATAACAAAGCTTATTCGCATATGAAGAGACAGACACATTTCAGTGAACACTTGAAGTTAGCACACTGACCACTCTACAGCTCTCATTTATCTGTCACATTAAATCTATCATTCTCAAATTGCCATTTACCTTTGTAAGTTTGTAATGTTCTCACTAGCTTTGTGCCTGATGACTGATGTGGCAAGCATATTAAACTACGAGTTTAATCTTGACACTGTAATTGACAATTTCACTGCAAATTGTACCACTTACTTTAACCCGTCTCCACTGACAAAACTCTAATCAGATGGCTCGACTGGTCTTATCTGCTTCTTACAGATTTGTAATATTTCTTTGCCCATGATACCTAATGATGCTGTCACCTCAGTATTTGTTACATGAACTCTTGATACAGAGTTTATCCCCTCGCAAGCGATATTCCTTCAAGAAAAAATCTATGTTTTGATTAAATTTTATCACCCGGAAGATATAGAAAGAGTCTAATGCAATTTTGTTGTACTTGACCAATTTTGTTGTATTTGACCAATTTTGTGGTATTTGACCATCCCACACATAATATTTTTGTATAGACATAAATGCTTTGCTTCAGCTTATGAGCACATGCCAGAAGAGAAGATAGTTATATTTGTGGTGCAAATTGTAACTGAAGTTTGACACAGAAATAAGAAACTCTAGGCTCTGTTTCATACACTTTAATACATATCTTCACTAATCATTGTGCCCCCAGTTTCACTATCTCAATGTTTCTTGTTTCCTAATTAACTTTATCCTGTAGCTATTTAGATATTAAACTGATCCTACCATTCAGGCTTTCCCACCAGGGAGCCCAAGTGCTGGGCTACTACTGGGCTACTACTACTTACCGTGAGCATGTCTTACCAAGAGAGAAATTCTTCGTAGGCTGAGAAGCACCAAACTAACAGAAAAGCATAACTGATATCTTAATAAAACTACCTACGTGTGTCTTCTCAGTCACCATAGCACAGGAAACAGTTAATGTTAGCCCCTGAGCAAGCTAAATCAGCTCTGAGAAAACTAAATCAGCTCTGAAGCCCGTGGGTCATTACGTCCATTTCCAGAAGAAGTGAAGAAGGAAAAAAAAAAAATAAACCAGATAGAAAGACTATACACATCTTCAGATTCAGCTAGAACAGCAATCAATTTTTTCAATGAAAAGGTGGCACAAGATTAGAATTTCTGATACCAGAAATCGGTGTTCACTGCAAAAAACAAGGCATTAACCTTCCCTTTAAATTTCACTACAGCTGCTTCTCAAAAACACATGCAACTAGCTTTTGTTTTCCAAGGCTTTCTCTGTAATTTTGAGGGCTAGAAAAAAGAATCACCATGAAGCTTAGATTTTTTTAGGTAAATCAAGACAGATGAGGAGATGGAGTATTGTGAAAACCTAGTACACTGAAACGAACTGGATCCAAAGGTCATACAACAAAGAGATTAGGGTGCAAACCCTCTTTTCGTCACTTTTGTATGTGCAGCTCTTTGGTCATGATGGTAGGTGAAATCCCTCTACTATAAGACACGCATTGTAAGTGTATCCAGCAAAATTCTATATACAGAACACTATATAGAGCATATTGGTTTTTTTTCAAGGGATCTCAACCCAGACTATCAATTGTCTCCTTGATACAAGGTGGGAGAAAGAAGGGGAGAAGAAAAGTTTTCAATTTAATCTTATGAAGTAGCAAAATTTCAGGAGCACAGAAGTAGATAGAAATGCTTTTGGAGGTAAAACTGAAGTCATATAAGCAAAACTATATAAATTCTGTTTTAAATTTAATAATAGCCATCAACGATAGCATTTATTCTCTACTTTTCCCGTGACATATTTTCTTTTTAATCATAGAGTATTCTAAATTTCAAATGACGTTTTTAAATTAAATATGTATCTTGGATTGCATAATCTGAATAATGATATAAATTCAAAGAAGCTAAAAGACTATTGAACAAGTGTTTGGGTTTGGGGGTTTTTTTGTTAGTAGCTACATGAGCATTACGCTATGCTTGATACATAATAGCAGCCACAGTACCATTTCTCTTGTATATCGTATCTGCATGTTCTAGTGCCTGTAAGTCTTGGTGAGCTTTGAGTGAAAGCTATCTGTAATTGATAAGGCAGAAGGAACAAACACAGCAATTAAAAAACCTTTAACAGAGTTAGGGCTGCAACACTGGACAGTTAAGGCTGGCATTTCCCATGTGTGGGGGGGGAGTGAGCGAAAGCTGTCTGGGTGGATTTAAACCACGACACAGAGCTATCACAAGATCATAGGAACACAGATCATAGTTTTCCATTTAGGTACCATCATACCACTATAATTGTTTAGTAAATTTAGCATAGACAATGCACTGGTTTTAGTCCAAAGACTAAAAACTTCCTTTATGATTCATATTTTGGCAACGGATGTTGCCTGTAGCCTGCTATTTTGAGTAAGACTGCCAGAGTGTAACAGCTGAGCTCAGTGTACAGAAGGCTTATTACAATTGATCATCTGTATTGTTCTGATGTTTGCCCAGCTGGGTGTATGCCCTTAAAATCAAATGACAGTGTCATAAGCCTAAAGCCCTTCTTGGTGCATGAATTCCCCATTCATTTCTCAACTAAATCACAACTGAACAATGCACTCCAGTTCATCAGAAGTGCAGTTTAGTTACATGTGGGCTCATGGGTATTGATAACTGAAAATAACTGACCAATTATCAACCCCCCTACGACAGAGCTAAAAGTGTCATTGTCACTAAGCACACCCAGTAGTGCTTAGTTTTCACATATACTTGAAAATATACATACTGCAAGCGAAGAAGGGCCTTCATCCATTTTTCTCTTTGATTTGCGCATGCTTTACAACACACTTTTGTGTGGAAGATGGAAAAAGCAAGAGATGAGGAACAAAAAATAATTTCAACTGATTGGAGCTATCATCAAGTGAACAGTAATGCAACAAATAATTTGATAGTACTTGCCCAGCAGATGAGATGTGGCAGGATTTATGTTTTAACAACAATATTAAATCAGCAGAAGGTTTGTTATTCCTTACAAAAAAAGTCATTTTCTATACAATGCTAAGTTATTTTGTTGCTTTGTGCTGGAGTGAGAGAAATATAAAGAAATGAGTAAATTTGATTATGATTCCATATAAAAAAAATAATTCTGTGAGCGATCCCAAGCTAATGAGATGCTGCAATGTCCTGGCTGGGAATGCCATGAGATTGCTTTAGGAAAAAAATTTTAAAAGGAATTAAAAAAGAAGAAAATAAATAACACAAAACAAGCAAAGAGTTGCACAAATAGGATTTAAAAATAATACTACAGCAGGCACAGGAATGACTGATCTCAATGCAGTGAGAACAGGTGGCTTTGGAGCTGGAGCATGAAGTTCTGCTGAGACTTTGAAGGGAAAGCTCTCACATCCATTACTCAAATGATATCCAAGCAGTAGGAAAGAGCCTTATTGGCAATTTGCAATTAAAAAAAAACAAAATTGTTGTGTTTTTTTAATTATATAATTGAAAGGGGAATAGGCCCCATATGACCTAATCTAATTTTGCATTATTCAACAGAATTCCACATGCTGAATTAGGAGTTAAGGGCTAAAGATACAGAGGAAAAACAAACTTACCTACACAAATGCAGAACAGCCCCACCAAAGTTATCAGGTGTTCCTGGAAACAGTCATGATTTTCAGAGCTGTCAGAATTTTTAATAAGCCACTGAAGGTTACTTACAAAAAACATGCCTCTGATATGATGATTTTGGCAATACAGCACTTCCTTATAGTAGCTATTTGTATCCTCAGGAATGTATGGATGGACATGTTTTAGATTAAATTTCCTACCAATAATATAACAACCTTATCGATCCATGTTAATGAGCATAGAAACCAACTTTCCATATTTTCTTTTTCCTCCAATAAGGCGGGTTACAAAAAAATATTCAAACATAATAAGAGGAACTAAAAAAGTCCCATGAATCATAGGTCTCTGGGTAAAGCATCTAGGGTTTGGTGGCAACAGAGATACGTCTGACAAGAGGAAGGATGAGCTACAGGAGCAATAGAAAATTTTTAACAGGTGTGAATGCTCATGTGTAATTGTTTCAGCTGGTGTCTCATAAGCAAAAGAATTCATTTCAAGGGGAAGTTACCATGTGTCAATTAAAAAATAAGTATATCACAGAAAGAGCAGATTTTAACATTTATTTTTTTACTCCAATTTCCATTTTTTTCACAAGCACGTTTGTTTAACAGTAGTTCAAGAAGTATTACAATGCTAACTACAGTTTGAAGAAAATATTTTGGCACAAGACAGTGCCAAAGTAACAAAATAAAAACAATAAATAACCCACTTTACACATGCTGAACAAAACAAAAATTACATGCAATAAACTTAAAATTCATACTCTGTACTACCACTTAGGGTAACCCTTTCTAAGAAGTACTCATATCATGTTAGTAACATACACATATTCATAAAAATAGAAACTTTAACAAAATGCTTAATTCAAGCAACACAGCGATGCAATATGAATCAATTCAAGAAGTTAAATGGTCCCAAGGAAGCCAGAGAAAGTGGTAAGCACACAACAGTGTACAAGATGATGATCTCAAACAAGATATTGAGCGAAGGAGTTCCTTAGCCATGCTTGTTTATTTCCCTGCTAGAAACCGTATCACATTGACATCTTCTTGAGCTTATGGCTGTTAAAAGAATGAGAGAACACACATAAATAATGATCTCAGCCACAGGTCAGTTATAGATTTCTGTCTCCAAGGTATAGCACCACCTGGGAGAACAGCTCAGACAGAAAAAGGGAGATGTGACATAACTGTCCCCAAGGAGACTCTAAAAAAGAGTAACTATGTTTGACCAGAGATGGAAAGACAAATATTTTCTGCATTGCCATCAGAACTGGTATTCAGAAGATGTAAGAAACAGGCTTTCATACCTGCTCTGTTTTCATAGGATTTAGATTTTTAGATTCCTACCTCAGGAAAAGAAGATGCTTCTTCACCCACCCCTCTTTAGGATTTACACAGGCGTTCAACCCACTGTAGGTGTGGAAACTGGAAATGAAATAACGATAAAGAGATCAGTAAGCCATTAGACAGCCCTGCTGTTAAATACTGCAAAGATTCATTTGGTCTAAAACATGCATCATATTTACTCTATATAATAAATAATAGCAACTGCTTTTGTAAGTGCCAGTTAGATATGGGATGTTCTACAACCCCTCCAACACTATATGAACAAAAAGAAACAAATCTAAATGTAACAGCTGCTTCAGTCATTTTTTGCACCATAAAGTTGTGCTCAATTTATTGGAACTCTTAGGACAAAGAACTTTTCTGGATACCAAAAGTAATTTGTGAGACTAAGGAAAATAGTTGCTGTCAACTATTAGGAAGGCTAAAACCTTGTGGAAAAAAAAATAGATCTCCATGAATTAAGCAAACTCTTGTCATTTATGTGTCTGTTAAGAGGTTTTGGCAAGGGAATACTCTCTGTTGGCTAGAGATGAAGCATGTCTTTGTTTGCACAGCTGAATCCTAAAATGTCAGATTTATTATTTACACTGTACGGCTGTCCTAAGAGTTAACAGTCCTTATCAAATAGAGGGTTTGTTTACAGGAATTATATACAATTTATTCAGTTAATTTAACCTTTTGAAAAAGCAAGAAAAAATCATGCTTATATTGTTGAAATTGCTGTGTCTGCCCAAACAGACATCTTAAGACTAATACATGTCAAAAAAAAAAAAAACCCAGAAGATCTTCTAAAAAATAACTTACATGATTGCATGGATATCGCAGACTTCACTGGAGAGCTGTTCAGTATAACCCTTTAGGGCCCACCGAGGTAGACGCACCTTGGTGTAAGACAGGCAGCAATCCTGGTTGCTTTGTGCTGAAATGAAGCAAAATGACAAAGTAAATAAACCCCATTTTGGACCATGCTGCCTAGAGCACTCACTGTTCAGCTCTCTGACTATCCAGCTCCTCATTGACAGAAGAGGAGGATTAGGCAGCATATTTGGCTGAAAAAAATCCCTTTCTCCTCACCCTCATACTGCTGCCAGCTGCAAGCATGCACAGCCCGACATGGCTGGCATGCTGTAGGGTGGCACGCAGAACCACTTCATGGGGTTGAATGCCCAAGCTCACTTACCTTCAGAGGTGCCACACAGGAGCAGTGCCAGGAGCCCTAGCATGGAAACCAGGACCAAGCTCTTGCTGCTAAAGCCAGCCATTTCCACTCCACACAGCAGTTGTGCTCTAATGAGTGCTCAGCTGCTACCTGCTCGTCTTGCCAGCTTTGCCGCACCTCCACCTGCTTATAAAGGGGTGGCAGAAGCCGCGGGAATTCACCTGCGGGCGGGTTCCTCTGTCATCAGTGGGTTTTCCCATGTCAATTTCCATCATGCCTAATTTGGCCCCTTCCTGGTGCTATAACTGGAGATAACAGTGTGCTAGGGAGTTTTTGTTTTTTTTTTTTTTGTTGTTTAAGTAGGTTAGAAAATTCAGCCAAAAAGAAAAGGAAATATAAGGCTGTGAGGTAATGGTTCTGTGGGTGAAGCATTTGTATTTTTAGGGGTAGGAGTGTGGGTTGTGAAATGAGGAAAGTCAAATGTAGGTAACTGTCAATGTTACCTACAGAAACTGCAGATCTGCTGTGTTCTAGCTTATTAAGCCAAAGTTGGGGTGAGAGGGAGGTGGGCCTAGCCCATTCAGTTTCATTTCAATATGGCATGCTCACAGGAGCTGGGTAAGTACCTGCAATGATACCAAAGCCCTACATTAACATTTACTGGTTAGCCAGTACAGTAATGTCAGACTTCCCATATTACTGCTTTCTGAGCTCTAGACTGTAGTATTTATGAGGACATGTGAGCAATATTGAGTACTCATGGAAATGGGTTTCTGTACCCATATATTCACTGCTATCACTTTCTACCTGTTTGTTATACATCTGAACTATTTAATCCGAAAACAGAACTAGCTTAAAACCAACTTGAAACGAGGTCTGTATTTTCCACTGAATCTGTACTGTCCAGAATGTATTAATGCTGCTTTATGAGCAATAGTTGTACCTTGTTACTTTCCCATGCCAACCTGTACCTGACAATTGTGACTCCTGAACATTCAATTAAAACACACACAATCTTAAAACTGTCTCACACGGTTCATAAGAAACCCCCAGGGAGAGGCTCTGTCATCACAGCAAGTACACTGTTTGAGCTGCTACTGGAAGCTGGTACTTTCCAGTGCTGTTTAGTGACCTGTGTGAAATGAATGTGATGGCTACAGGCCATGTCCTGGTCAGCTGGTATACACAAGAGGTACTGCCAATTCCAGGTGATTACAGAGTAACCTGAGCTGTAAGTACCTTTTCGTAAGTTAGAGCTCAGGGATACGGTCATTTATTTGGAACTACACACCTATTTTTCACAGACTACCAGTACCTTTCATGAAGGGTGCATTCCCATTATTTCTTCCTAGAAATGTAAAAAATCTGAACTCTGGAATAGACTATTATTCAAAGACATTAATCTTTCAACATAACAGCCAGAATTTAAGGAAGATCATATGGCTAGGGCACATACGAGCAGTCTTGCAGCATGCATGGCTTCACACATGTTGGAGATGCTTCTCCTTAGGGCCACTGCCACTGGCCAAGGGTCATGGGAAGAGGCAACAAAGATTCCATGCCCTGAAGTTTTGATTTTTTCTTTATGAATTATAGTGAAATATCATAAATGTACATAAACATCAGTGCTCTCTATATGCAGCTATTATATTAAAAAAAAAAATCCTGGCTGTCCAGTAACAACCTTGGATTATTTCAGTACTTCTTATTTTTAAGCAGGAGTTCACAACATCTAATCAAGCAAGTGCCTTTAAGAAGATTTGAAAATTAGGCATTGGGTTATCAACCTGCATTCCTCTACTTCCACTCTCCCATTTCTCTCTAGTGTTGATCCTTGAAAAGTCTCCAGCTACTTTAGACAGAGAACATTCTAAGATTGTCAAGACAGTAACCACATCTTCTTATCCATGGATTAGTATCAAGACCATCGAAAGCACTAAGCAAACAATAATTTTTAAAATTGCCAAAAAGTCTTCCAGAAAAAAGATGTTTGTCTCCTGTCTTGCTAAAGCACTTGTTGCTCCTTAAGTTCATGTCTCCTTTGTTAGTTTGGAGACTTGAGACATAACTGATTAGGATGATAATAATGCTTATTGATTAGGCAGCACATTTTTAAAAAGCTAATATTTTAATTGGCTAATAAAAATACCACGGTTATTGGGAATATTACTTCACAATTATAAAATCATACTGAGCTAAAATGCTGTTATTTACTATTAACACAAATATAGTGGTTAAATCTATTGATTAAATTATTCTAAAGAAAAATTAAAATATCACTAATAAGTGCTACTAAATTGCTATTCTGCTGCCTTGTTTCATGCGTTGAGTATTAAGGTACAAATCTAACCTTCCTTACGAGTTTATGCATTCTTGCTCCCACCTCTTGTACTGTTTTTCAGCCATAGAGCTGGTGGAGATTCTGGTGGGTTAACAACAGGGATTGCATCCACAGGCTGGCTTAACCACTGCCTGGAGGCAGCTACACTTTTCCTGTCAGAAGGTCCTTTCATTTCTTGCTCTCCTTAATTTTATACCTTATTCCCCAGTTTTTCTTTTTCTTGAACCCACCTTTTCACCACCCCTGCATCTCTTTTCCTGTGCCCAAACATCTCACACATAACTCACACCTAACTAATTTTCCTCATTGACCCCAAATCTATTACACCCATTCCAAACTTTGGTCTTTCTTATGCCATTTCCTAGGCAAATACAGCTGAACATGTGATTACCAATGCTGTTATCTAGTTGGAGGCAGCCTTGTATCTCAGGTCTCCCTTCTCACTCTACAGCTCTATTTCTTCCCCATTCAGAAGATAGAATCTTCTCACTTGAGCTTTGACACCCCTTCCTACTCCTAATTAAGCACAAGCAGTTTGGATACCAAAGCAATGACATGACCCAGTTAATGCTCAGCCCATACTCCTGTCCTCAGGCAATTTTCATTGCACCTCTGATAGAAAAGAGAGGCCAGACTGGTGTCCTGTGTTACAGCAGAACTCTTGCTCATGATACATGTTTCATCTCATTGGTTTGATTTTGGAAATCAGGTTAAAATTTAGATTTTAAACAAAAGCCATGAGGAGGGCCTCAGCTTCAGGAACCCTATGTACAAAGTACTTTTGGTTTATTTGCACAAAGTAGTTTAAAAAATAAAATCAAGAAAGGTTTTTGAAGTTGCCTGCTAGGTCCTGCTATGACTCAGAACCATATCTTATCAGTCTTTGCAAGTCCATAATGCAAACAGAAGGCAAAAAATTATAAAACCAGGTTAACACTTATGTGTTCAAGGGAAGTGATTGCTCCCTGCGGATGAGGGGATGGTGAATGTTGTCCACTCTGATCCAGTGAGACTTTCAGCCTGGTTTCCCTTACCATGACCAAATAGTGCTGTATGGATTGGCCAGAGGACAGGTGAAAGACTGGTACACTGGTGTCCTGCATGGCCACCAGCACCTCAGAGACTGTTCATGGGCATTGTGGATCGTCATTGCTGTGCCAATACATTGTGTTTGGTGTCCTGGTACTGATGCAGTTAGGAGGCTGCACATGGAGGAGAGGTCAGGGAGGAGGCCACAAGGTCAAGGGACACCGTTACCTCCCTGCACTGGGGCCTGCAAGGCTGTGTGCAGAGGCCTGTGCCCAGGGCCTCCTCAGAGGGGCACAGCCAAAGCACAAGAGGCTGCAAACACCAGTTGCAGAAAGGGAAATTCTCATCAGACATAGTGAAAACCCCTCTTCACAGCAAGGTAGGTGAAGTTCTGGGACAGGTTGCCCCAGAAGGGGATGTGAAAGCCCAGTTTGAATACCCTTGGAGGTACTCAAGCCTCAGTTGGACCTGGACCTTCCGTGAGCATGATCTTACAATTGTGTTCCTTCCCAAGCCACAGTCAAGCCCACATTTTTTCTGTTTCTGTCATGTCTGTTTTTTCTTCTCTTTTTAGTTTCCTAACGTGTTTCTTCCCAGCTTCCCGTTGCTGTTTCTCAACTTCCCTCACTCCTGTCAGACCTTCTCAGATCCCCTCACAAACCCTGATCACTCTCCCTCCCTGTGGCTGCACTCAATGTAAGACAAAGCACTAAAACACAGATCAATTAAGTTTTCAGCCTCTCCTAAACCTCCCTTCCTGTTGTTCCAGAGGCCAGAGGGTACATACCAAACCACTCCTGTGTGTACTATAAAAGATAAGGTAAAGATAGCTTAGGTTCCTGTGCTGTAGAGCCATTCAGAGTTGTGAAAGGAGAAGAAAAGTATCAGGGAAAACAGAGCATTTTCCAAGGTGATACTGGGAAACTGATAGTTCTGAGTAGTTTGAGGATGTTAAAGAGGGGACCTGGGGAGTCAGACTGCTCTTGGACACCAGCTGCAGAGGTACAGCCTCTCTCTCCCTGCTTTCCCTGATCATCAGTCTGCTGTCTCCAAGCAATATATTTCTTTTATTTTAGCAAAAGGCTTTTACTCACAGAAATACCTGATGAAAGTCTGAAGTTCTGAAGGGTCTTAATTGTTCAACCTTGGTAAACACCACTGTACCAGTGGAAAAATTGGCATTATTTCTGAGGGATGGGCTTGCCCCATCACTCTCCCCATTGCAGAACAGTACAGAAGCAGACCACCTCGTTTCTAGGTACATGTAGAGTTGTGACAATAAAGCTATGCCTCTTTTCATTCAAAATCTTGCATATGAGAAGACATATGCACATACGGAATTCAGAACTGCACATGACTGGGAAAGCAGTTTAAAATGCTTTGAAACTGTGGCCCCACAATAGTAATCTATTCAATTATGCAGCTCTGCTGTGAGATCCTAAAAGCCATACAATGCAAGGCTTAAAACACTCTTCTGAAGAGAGACACAGAGAAGGAATTTTATAATCATTAACTATTTGACTGATAAGCTACAGCTTATAATGAGTTCTTTATGGGTTTAGGTCTAATATTTAACACAAAAGATTAAAAAAAAGAAACAAAACAAACCATAAAAACATCCCTCACCTATCCTGATGTCAGATGCTGTCTACAATGTCTTTACCTGTCCACTACAGTAAGACAAGAAACACATTGACATTTTCTGAGTAGCACATTAATGAAATTAATGGCATCCTGGGTTGTATTAGAAGGGGGGTGGTTAGTAGGTCAAGAGAGGTTCTCCTTCCCCTCTACTCTGCCCTGGTGAGACCTCATCTGGAATATTTGCCAGTTCTGGGCCCCTCAGTTTAAGAAGGACAGGGACCTGCTGGAGAAGTCCAGCCAGGGCAACTAAGATATTAAGGGGGACATCCCCTAGAGGAAAACGAGGGAGCTGGGTCTCTATAGTTTGGAGGAATGAGGGTACCTATATGATATAAATATATAAAGGGGATGTCACGGAGAGCCAGGCTCTTCTCAGTGGCAAACAATGAAGGACAGGGATGGTACAAATGGACACAAGAGTTCCACTTAAACTAGAAGAAACTTCTTCTCAGTGAGGGTGACGACACTGACAGGCTCCCAGGGAGTTGTGATCTCCTGGAGACATTCAAAACCCCCTGGACACTTCCTGTGTAACCTTATCTAGGTGTTCCTGCTCCGGCAGGGGTATTGGACTAGATGATCTTTTGAGGTCCCTTCCAATCTCTAACATACTGTGATACTGTGATACTGTGAAATTTCCATTTCTATTCATCCTTGCAAATGATGTTATTACATATTTCTGCCCTTGTCTGAACTGCTGGAAATAAAACATTATAGCAACACAGCTGATGAACAAGGAAGAAAAGAACCAAACAGAGGAAATTCCCTTCTGCAATTTCTAATGGTTTAGAAGGCTTTTGACAGAGCAAAGAGCATGAAAAGACACTAGATCAAAGGAACAGGGCCAAATGCGGGGTTTAAAACATTGCATAATCCCCAGTGATGAAATACATACTAAATCCCAAGCACAAAAGTTCCACAGGTAACTTGCCCAATATCTCTGGAGCCTTAGAGGCTATGATGCAATACAGTACTTTCATGCAGTTCATTTGCATGACTGACAAAAATTCTTATCTGAAGGAAGAAACCAATTTTCACTAATTATAAGTTGCGCTTCATAAGGAATAGATCTAGAAATACTACTGAATGGCACTTCTTTGATGCAATTATGGACAAATTATATTCCTGTTGGGAGAAATTAATCTCTGATGTATCAGAAGTGCAGGTTATGAGAAGGCTGGTGCGTCCACTGTGAACAGCCCAGCACCCTTCCTAGCTTGTTGCTTACCACTATGTACATATAGGAGATGAATATTTGGTGTTCTGAGGGCAGGTTTCCCTCTTTCAAAATTAACCTTCCATTGTAGCCAGTCACCTTTTCACAGAAATGGACCTCTCAAAGTTGAAGGCAAAACTTATAGTTGGAAATAAGCATGGAAAAAAATACACTACTGGGTTTCTGTGGCAAGGTTTTGGTAGAACGGGTTCTAACAGAGTGGCTTCTGTGAAAAGCTGCCAGAAGCTTTCCCTAGGTCTGATAGAGCCAATGCCAGCCAGCTTCAAGCTGAACCCGCCACTGGCCAAGGCCAAGCCCATCAGTGACAGGGGTAACACCTCTGGGATAACATATTTAAGAAAGTGGAGAAAAACACCCAGGCAGAACAATAACAGCTGAGAGAGAAGAGTGAGAACTGGTGAAACAAGCCTCAGACACCAAGGCTGGTGAAAGTCAGGAAGGAGATGCTCCACACCCCAGAGCAGAGATTCCCCTCCAGTCCGTGGTGAAGACCATGTGAGGCAGGCTGTCACCATGGAAGGCCACAGTGGAACAGATATCCACCTGCAGCCCATGGAGGACCCCATGCCAGAATAGGTGAATGCCCAAAGGAGGCTGTGACCCCATGGGAAGCCCACAGAAAAGTGTTTCAGAGCAGCCCTATAGAGAAGGACTTGGGGGCATTGCTCAATAAGAAACTGAACATGAGCCAGCATTGTGCCCTTACAGCCCAAAAAGCCAGCCTTATACTGGACTGCATCAAAAGGAACATGACCAGCAAGTCAAAGGAGATGATTCTGCCCCTCTGCTCTCATGAGATCCCACTCTGAGTACTGTCTGCAGTCCTTGTGTCCTCAACATAAGGACATGGAGCTGTTGGAGCAAGTCTGGAGGAAGGCCATGAGGATAATAAGGGGGCTGGAGCACCTCCCGTAAAAAGACAGGCTAAGAAAATTGGGTTTGCAGCCTGGAGAAAAGAAAGCTGTGTGGAAACCTCATCCAGTATCTGAAGGGGGCCTACAAGGATGCTGAAGAGGGACTCTTTATTAGGGACTGTACCGATACAACAAGGGGTAATGGCTTCAAACTTAAACAGGGGAAGTTCAGGCTAGATATAACCAAGAAGTTCTTTTGGGGCTGGTGAGGCACTGGCACAGGCTGCCCAGGGAAGCTGTGAATGCTCCATACCTTCCAGTGTTCACAGAGAGGTTGGACAGGGCCTTGAGCCATCTGGTCTAGTGGGAGGGGTCCCAGCCCATGGCAGGGGACTTGGAGCTAGGTATTCTAAGGTCCTTTCCAACCCTAACCGTTCTATGGAGGTTTTACTCATCCACACTTGACATAGAACACTTGCTCTCTGGAGTACTTAGTACATGATTAAGACAGCTGGCATTTTGTCATGTATTACTAGAAGATAAGTTTAAAAATACCCAGTAACATCTGCTTATTTTTAATTACTAAACAAAAAACAAACAAGTTTTGTTTTAATAGACATTAGTTAACACTATTGAGTGTCTTTGTCATGAACATTGTCAGAGTAGCCAATGGCACAGACCTTCTCCAGACAAATGTTGCAATCACTGGATTTTCAGTACTACACAGTTACATTATAGGGACTTTCCTCTGTGGAGATTTAAACCACGGTTTCCCAAACCAGCTGGTTCAAACTTCCATCTGTCCAGGAGTCCTGGACATAAAGAATCCATAGGAATCCAAAGCCCTAGATCCTTCCGTCCCAACTTTTACAGGTTCTTTTGCATACCACCACTGAGATACTGCCCTTCTTATCTTCCTATACCCTTAAAACTTTCTGGACCTTAATCTGAACCTCTATATTTCTGCAAGAGGTATTTGGGGGCCCCAGCAAAAGGCAGCCTTGCCCCAGCTCCCATTAAGGAAGTGTCTGCTTTTCCTCTTTCTAAAGGTTCCCCTTGGCTGCTTTAAGCATGTGTTGCTTGTCCTCATTTTCAACGTCTCTCTCACCTTGTTGCTGGCCTGGACAACTCCAGCCAGCCTCAGCAGTACCCTGATGGTTAGGCCCTTGGCCAGTACTTTAAGTATGAAACATCCAAGACTGCTCACAGGCTTCAGGTCCTCCTGCAAACAAGGGCTTATTCTGCAAGAGCAAGAGCCAGAGACAGAAAAGCTGCTGAAATGCAAGATGTTCTAAGACAAGCAATCTGGGCTTGACAGAAATCTCCTATTCCAAAATGAATTGTTTTACAAGAACATCTTTGCCTCTAGTAAGTAGACTTAGCCTTCCTCAGATTAAAGAACGGTCCTTTTTTTCATGTTTGTACACAGTGAGCACCAAAGGACCTGGGAAACAGGGCCACAGCTTCAGCATATGACACATACACTGTAACTGCTGCTTTGGAAGGGACTAACAGGAAGATGAAGACACATGGAGAAAAAAATGGACCATGTAAAAAAATAATAAATATATATCTTCTTCATGAAACAGGCAGAATGCAACACACTCTGGGGGGATTAAAACCAAACAAATTTTAAGCCATCCAGAGCAAACCCTTTCAAGTCCTTGGTTATCAAATTCTTCTTAGCTGGCAAGAAATTAATCTATTAGAAGAATTCAGGACATTTTAAGTGCAAGAACTGTTACTTTCAAACAAACACTAGCAACATGATGCATTTATTTTAAGTCTCTCTCAAATATCATTAGAGATTTAGCATTAAATGATGCATCCTGCTACATATGTGCACTTGTCAAGATGTGACAAATATTATTCTCACAAGTCTTTACACTACCTGAGCTGTTGCAGTGATTCAAAGTCTCCCGCAGTGTCTGTAATGAAACACACCTCGAGGGGGGGAAAATACAAAAAAGGTGGAGAGGAGGTGCTGAGGTGAAACTTCCTACACAAGTTGTGCAAATGCAAATGTTTGTCTCTGAAATGAGAAGTCCGTCTATGACGACAGGGCAAAATCTGCCACTGTTGGGAGGTTTGTAGGGCAAGTGAACATGGGGACACGCCTTAAAGTGATCTTTCAACATGGAAAGTTGCTTAGAAATCCTTTCAGGTTTTTCCTCTCATCTCTCTTTGGCAATCCATTAGTCACTAAAAGAATTAACCAATTTACATGAGACTTGTTTGACCTATATATAATTTCCTTTATGTTACTTAACTGGAGATGAAGAAAACATGCAATCAAAGGAAGGCTAAAACACAGGCTAAGACTACACATTGAATTAGACTATATGGCATCATTACAAAAAATACAAATAAGATAGCAGAGTTACCAGGTCCAATCGTCAAATAGCAAACTTGGAGATACAGCGGCGGTTTGGTGCTAGGATACCATATACGAACATCCACCTGTGACTGGACTGCCCTCCAAATTCTAAAGGTGAAGCTTAATAGGTTATTTTAATCTCTTCCTCATGTCTGAAAAGTGTAACTTTTACCAATTTTTTGTTACAGTGTTGAACAGTGATTATGCTGAATTAAGAGATGTTTTTTTCATTTCTACCCCCTTCAAAAAAAAAAAAACCAAAAAAACCCCAATCAAACAACAAAACAAACAATCAAACAGAACCAGCTACAGTTGGCACAAGCTCCGTTTTCAAAACCTTGGCTTTTTCATTGGCCATGTGGAGATCACAGCTGTCATGAGAGTGATCTGTGGTTGGCACTGATGAGAAAATAGGCCACAGCTTTTAGAGCATTTGGTACTTTATGACAGCAATTGTTTCATTCTTGCATGTAACATGTAACTCACTTCAAGGAAGTATTAAGCAAA